CTCGGCGGCGAACAGGACTGGTCCCAAGATCTCTTCGTCCTCCTCCTTCTCCTCGCGCGCTCCTGAGGCATAAGCACCACCTACACCAGAATCACTGATCATCGTTCCTCGGTTGGAGCGACCCCTGTGTTGGTGATGGTGTCCATTCCCAGGCCTCCAAGAGAGCACGACGTCGGAGGGCTGGGTCCCGAGGAGAGCCTGGTGGTCGAGCAGCGGTTCCAGCAGAGGCGCGTGCTGGCCGACGGCGAGGCGGGTGGCCGACGTCGGGTCGCTACTCTGCTTGATTTGCGTTGTGTGTTGTGTGCTTTTAGTGTTGGTTGTCCTGCCTCTGTCACTATGTACATGCCGGCCGTAGCCGCCAGTGGGGGTGTCCCGAGGTGCAGGTCTGCTCTTGGATAAACGGCCGCAGAGACGCCTGCGCATCACATATCTGACACATCCACAGGGCGCGCCTGCGCCCGTGCACCTCTTCGAGGGTCAAACCCTGGAGCCCTGGTCCTCCTCCTCCTCCTCCTCCTCCTCCTCCTCCTCACTATCCTCCTTCACACCCAATCTCTGTTTCTGCCCTCCGCACGTCCTTATCGTCATCATCATTTTCATCGTGGCACACCCCGCGCACGCTTCGTTACCCCAGAAGAAGCTCCTCCGCGGGCCCCACTGGGCACGTTCGCATTCGTGGGCCTCGCCCACGTCGGCACACCCATCGCACGCTCCGTCGCCCATGGGAACCCCACCGGATACCCCGATGGCCACGTTCGCACGAAGGGTCCCCGTCCATTCGACACACCCCTCTCACGTTGCGTGGCCCCGCTCCAGCGCAGGCCCTAGTTGTAACGCGTGCGCGAGGGATCCTCGGCAATTTCGGCACACCCGTCACACGTTTCGTGGCCCCACCAGAGGCTTCACCGAATGCCCCAGTGGCAGCGCCTGCGTGGTGGCCCCGCCCAATATTTGCACACACGCACGTTTTCCGCTTCGTTGCCCTATGGCAGATCCACCGAAAAAACCCCATTGGCAGCGCCAGCATGACGGCCCCGCCCCATTTTGGCACACCCTCACACGTTTCGTGGCCTCACAGTCAGTTCGTCCGAAAACCCCAGCAGCAGCGCCGGCATGGCAGCCCCGACCCACATTGGCACACCCCTCACACATTTGTCGCCGCGCAGGGAACTCAGCCGAAGCTCCCAGTGGCCCCACCGCAGGCCCCAGTGGCAGCGCCCGCATGTGCACGCGGGGTCGTCGTCAATTTCGGCGCACCCCTCCACGCCTCGATGCCCCACAGAGAGCTCCACCGAGGGCCCCAGTGGCGGCGCCCGCATGACGGCCCCGTCCCGTTTCGGCACGCCTCTCGCTCGTTTCGTCGCCCCGTGAGAGCCCCACCGAAGCCCCCAGTGGCTCCACCGAGGGCCCCAGTGGCAGCGCCCGCAGTCCGGCCCCGCCCCATCTGGTACACCCCTCGCATGTTTCGCTGCCTCATAGGAAGGGCCACTGAAGGTCCCGTCCACCTTGCGCCTCGGATACATGTCGGCACAACCCTCATATCTTTCGTGACCACATCGGGATATCCCCTTCGCCCCGTCTTCGACCAGATGATTTCCTAGCCGCTGGATGAGTGGGCTCGCAGTTCAAAGATGGACCCCTGGACCTGTCCTGGGTTGCGTTCCAGCTTGGATTGTTGACGCTTCGCGTGTCCTCGCCAGCCCATCAGAAACGATGCCCAGGAGAGTTGGGAACAAGATAGGGGGCAGCCGTTATCTGTCGAATGAGGAAGAGGATGGAGGAGAAGATAGAGGAGGAGGAGGAGGAGGAGGAGGAGGAGGAGGAGGAGGAGGAGGAGGAGGAGGAGGAGGAGGACGTAGAAGGAGAAGGACTAGGCAGATGAGGAGCAGGAGGAGGAGGAGGAGGAGGAGGAGGAGGAGGAGGAAAAGGAGCGCGAGCAGAAGGTCAGAGGCCTCTTGGATGCAGGCGCTTCCTTGGCGGTCTCTTGGCGGTCTCGGGGGCCCCTTTGTGGCGTCCTGGATGTCGTTGAGGGGGTGCCTCTTGAGGCCCTTTTGGAGCCGTTCAGGCACCTCTTGGGGCTGTCTTGGGAGCCCTAGAGGCCCTCGTCAGGCCATGTTGTGGGACATCGATCCAAGAATGTGGGTCATTGATTGTTGGCGCCTCTCTAGAATGTCTGAAATCGCACCTCTTGGGGCCCTCTTGGAGCGCTCTTGGGCGCTCTTGGGGCCGTCTTGGGACCCTATTGGGCCTCTCTTGGTGCTTGCCCTCCTGGGCCATCTTGGAGCCACCTTGAGGCTTCGGACGACCATCGGAAGCGAGAAGGCAAGAACGCAACACACATTTGATTGTCCTTCGGCTTCGGGGAGGATTTGGGGGCCGCTGGGGGGCTCTCTTGGGGTGCTCCGAGGCCACCTGGAGCCGTCTTGAGGCCGTTTTGGAGCCTCTGGGTGCATCATCTTGAGCAATTTTGAGCCATCTTGAGTCGTCTCAAAAGCCTCTGGAGCTCTCTGAGGCCCTCTTGGAGCCATCATGGGCCAGCTTGAACGCTCCAATCGTTCGCGGGCCGCCCCGTCCAGGTCCAGGGGAAGGGGGATGGGGAGGGGAAAAGCCTTCCCCGAAGGTGGTGAAGGTACGATAGAAGAGAAAACGCGCTAAACCACTCACGCCCAGAGGGCTGGTGGATCCAGCCATTGCCACGAGGAAACCCCAGAAAGCTTGATCGTCGAGCCTCGATCCTCGAGTTTGTTGAGCCGCTGGATGTCTAAGTTCGGGAGTAACAGATCGACCCGCGGACCTCCCCTGGTGTTCCTTCCGGCCAGGCTCTCGAGGGGAAGCCAGCCGTGGCGACGAGAGCGCCGTTGGGAATCACGTCCAAAGCAGGGATCCCCCATCGTCGAATCTCGGTCCTCGATTGGATCGAGACGATGGACTCCTGGGCTGAGGGTGGAAACGAAGCCCCTGGACCTCTCCTGGTGCGCACTCCCCCCAGGACCTGGCCGCGGCGACGAGGGCGCCCGTGAAAGCCAACGAAAAGGGCCCCCGGCACGCCCAGATCCCCGATCCTCGATCGTCGAACCTCGATCCTCGATTTGACCGAGCCTCTAGATCGGCGGCGAGCCAGGGGGGGGGAAAGCGAGAGGGAGAAGGCCTTCCCAGAAGGCGGGGGGGCTTCTCAGAAGCCCTCGGGCCTTCTGAGAAGTTTTCTGCTTCTTCGGGGAAGGCTTAGAGCACTTCCGAACTTCCAAACCTTCTTGAGATGGCCTTCTCCTTCTGACCCCACCCCCCGGCCCCGCCGCCGACTGGATGTGTGGCCCCCAGACATCTCCTGATGTGTTTTCCCGCCAGCGTTCCGACAGGGATCCAGCGGGGGGGACTAGCGCGCCCCACGACGACCAACAAGGCGCCAAGCACGCCTGATATTGCTTGGCTCCGAGCGATCCCTACCCCGAGAATGAAGGCGAGGCGGGATGCCCAAGGATCCTTGGCACTCGCCCTCCTCTCACGTGCTTTCGGGCCAGCAGGCCGGACGGGGAGCGAGCGAGGGCGACGAGCGCGCCCCCGGACGACCCCAAGAGGCGCGCAAGCACGCCTGAGAGTCTTCGGGTGCGAGCGATCCCCACCCCAGGGAGGCGAGGTGGGGTGCCCGGGGATCACTGGCACACGCTCTACTCACGCGCTTCCGCGCCAGCATCTCGACTGGGATCCAGCGGGTGGGGCGAGCGCGCCCCCACACGACCCCAAAAGGCGCCAAGCACGTCTGAGGGTCTTCGGCTTCCAGCGATCCCCACCCAAGAAAGGGCCCCTGTTCGCTGGGCTGACCAGGACCCCAAGCGAAACTTCGGTGAATTGTGTCATGCTCCGGGCTGAGTCGCTTCGATACGCGCGGTTTGTTACGCAACACGTCCCGTGCTCAAAACGTCCTTAAGCGAACTACGTTGCGTCACGCGTTGGCCCACGGTTCGGCGAACGTGTCGCGCCAGACGTACGTGTTCGATCTACGTCTTGAGCTCCGTGTCAACACGCAACGGGTTGCGTGTTGCGTATCGGGTCGGCTAAGGTTCCGGGTTGTTTTTTCTTGCGGCTCGATGCCGTGTTTGCGTGCGGTTTCGTTGACGTTGTGGGTTGGTCTTCGCGATGCTGCAGCGCATGGTCGGGCCCCAACTCGCTCGGGCCCCGTCATCATAGCGACAACCCTGCTGGCGCGCTAACACAGGAGGAGTGATCAGTGATCGGGGGCCCCCAGAGGGTGTGGTGACCGCACCGTGTGTTGAGTCAGGGGTGCTCTGGCGCCTGCCTGGCCGGATGATGCCGTCGACCCCCCTGATTCTCGACGACTGTTTCCTCCGGATGGGGCTCGACAGCCACCTTCCCCCGTGGAGGGTGGGACGCTCGGTGAAAGGAAAAGAAGTGTGTGTTGAGTCGGGGGGGGGCAGCTCGGGGTCACCGCACGGTCTTGGACCTCGGGCAGTTCTCCGAGTGACGTCCCGGGCTGCAGGGGGCCCCGCCCCCGGGGCCCCCAAAGCGGTTGGGTGACGGACACCGCGCGGTGAGGTCGTGGGGGATTCCGAGCCCTCCAGCCTCCTGAGAAGTATGATGTGTCCTCGGGGAAGGCTCAGGAGGCCTCTCAGAGGGCCGGCGGGGGACTTCCGAGCCTTCTGAGCAGGCCCGCTCCCCCCCCGGCTCGCCGCCGATAAGCGGGGGCGGGCAAGGGGCGGCAGGGGGGGGGAAACGGGGACACGCAGGTCCCCGAGATCCGACGTTGCAAAAAAGAATGCAACCATGGCAAACCATCGCGACTGGACCCCCAGACCCCACCTTTCTGCGTCGTTTTTGGAGCCGGATCGACGGATCTGTGAGGGTCCCAGGGTTGAGCGAACACGCCAGGCTCCAAAAAGTTGGCGCGCCAGGATCGCAGGGCTCGTTTCGATTCCTCCGATTCGATTCGATTCGATGTCGATTGTTTCCGATTCCGATTCGATTCGATTTGGGATTCCGATTTGGGTTCCGATTTCTTCTTGGAGACATACTAGCCTGCCGATTTCTGCCGATTCGACTTTTCCCGACTCGGCCGCCGATTTCTGCCGATCCGATTCATTTCGATCGCCGATCCGAGTTATCGATTCGATTCTGGGCTCTCCTGCCCGAGCCTGCGTCCCTCCCGAGGTGCTGGACCAGCGCCGCCGCGCCGACGCGGCGCTCGCCGACGCCACGCAGCGGGCAGCGGGCTCGGGGCGGGCGGGACGGGCGGGCGGCGGGCTCGGGACGGGCGGGCGGCCCCCCGCAGGCGGCCGCGTGGAGGCCCCTCGCAGGCGGCCCCTCGCTCCGAGAGGACCCCAATGGGGCCCCACGCAGGCGGCCCCTCGCAGGCGGCCTCGTGGAGGCCCGAGCGGCCTCGTGGAGGCCCTAGCGGGCTCCCACGTGGCTCCGAGAGGACCCCAAGGGGGCCCCAGGAGGACCCCCTCGAACGGCGGACGGCTCTGGAGCGTGAGCGTACACGTACATGAATCCACGCTGTTTTCGAGATTTCGCATTGCGCGAATATTCGTATCACGCGGCCGGTCTCGCGGGTCAAGGGGCCGTGTTCATGTACATAGCTGGGCGCGTACGTCCTTTGTGGGCTCCCTACAATGGGGCCCCAGGAGGACCCCATCGAACGGCGGACGGCTCTGGAGCGTGGGCGTCTTTTTCGTTAGTTGTCGTTTTTGTTTTTTGTCATTGTTTTGCCCATGGGCGCCAGCCCTCGCCCCCCCCCTCCCCGCCCCCCCCCCCCATGGAGTAGATCTTGGCTGTTTTTGGTGCCCGTTTCGAGCAGGTGGCCGCACTGCTGCAAACAGTGGCACTCAGCAGAGGTCCGGAGCCAGACCCCCCCCCTCCCCCTCTTTCCGCCCAATGTCGGAACGCCGAATAACAAAAACGCGGCTCGAACGAGCTTTCAGATGACTTCCATAGGCCCTGTGAGCTGCAGACTGCTTTCTCATCGCAAAAACTGCCCAAAGGGGCTTCAAGCGGGCTTCAAGGATATTTTCAAGAGGACCCCAGGACGACCTCGCAGCGCCACCCCGCGAGAGCAAGGCCGCCAGGGCGACTATGTTGTACCGTTTTAGTGTGTCATGTTTTACCGCACCCCTCGCAGATTTCTTGGTGTCTCCAGCGCCGATGCTGTTACTGGTTTCGTTCCCCTGTGGGGGCCTTGTCCAGATCACCGACTTTTGCCTACACCGGAGCCGGACCGTTTACGAACGGGTCCCGAACGTCGCTCGGATCCCAGGACTGTCCAGAACGTTTCGGTGAAAAGTTTCTTTACCGTTTCGGTGGACCTGGTGTTTGGAGATTTCTTTGCCATTTCGGTGAATAGTTTCTTTACTGTACCGTTACGGTGAATAGTGCCAGAACGGTTTTAGTGAATCGATTCTTACGTTTCGGTGCTGCCTTCAATCTCGAAAGGCCGGCTCTTGGAAACGGTGCAAGAGAAGGCTCGGCCGTTTCCATGCCCTTGCCCCCGAGTCGTTTTTGGAGGGCGAGCTGAAACAGCATTGGTTGGCCTTAGGGGGACCCCGCTCGGGAAATTGGTTCGTTTGAGCCCCAGAAAAACTCCGGGTTCCGATTTTGAACTGTTGTTGTGTTGGCCCGCTCCGCTCCGAGGTCAGGCTAGACCTGGCTTTCACCATTGTCAAAACCGAGCCGAGCTGGCTCCTCCTCCTTCACAGACGGATGGGTGTCCCGGGTGGGCCCAGCCGAGCTCTAAGAGTTTCCAGAGGACCACAAGAGGGCCCCGGGACGACCCTACAAGACTCGTCAAACATGAATGTACGTTTTTTCTTTCTCGGTGCGTGCGTTGCGAGCGTTACTTCAATGCTGGCATGAGGTATTTGGCCCAGACGCAGGGGTGTCCGAAATCCAGCAGTACCCTCACAGCATTGAAGAACGCGATTTCTGACAAGTGCCCGAGCAATCGAGCGCTTCGATGTTGACCAGCGTCCCACTTTATGCTTGGCGAGGCTTGTAGACATCGAGAAATAGAGGCGCAACGGCGGTTGCGCATCTTACAGTCGGCACTGATTGGTAGGTCGACCCTGCCAGCTCAAGGGTACCCCTGTGTCCTGTGTCTCGCGACCTATGCCTCCTGCATTCCTGTGGCAATGTGGCCCTCGGAAGGGTCTTGTGTCCTCTCGCGTGTCCTGTCCAGTCAAGTCCGACTCTAGCCGGGGCCCGCTCGGAGCCCTCTTGGAGCCCTGCGGGAGCCCCTCCGAGGTGGCCTCGCGCAAGGCGCTGGCGCGGCCACGAGCGGTGCTCCCAGCGCCGCCCCGAGGGACCCCGGGCCCCGGCTCGTGAGGCGGGCGTGGACGGGCCAGCCGGTGGCTCTCGGGGAGGTCCCCTCGTTCGGGTGCTGCTGGAAGTGCGGGCAAGATTTATGTTCATATCCAGTGCGCTTCGGGCTTCTCGGGAAGGGAGCCCAAAACTCCATACTGCAGTGGATATGGACAAAAGTACTGCTCGCAGGAAGTACCCCTGGCCCAAGGTGCCCCCAGGATTCTCGGGGCAGCCCAGACGGCCTCCAGAGCACCCCTCACGAGGCCCAGGGGGCCCCAGGGCCCCCAAGATCGAGCGAAAAGCTGGGGGCACCTTGGGCCAGGGGCACTGCTAGCAGCACCCGACTCGTCGCCACGGCCGGGCGCAGCTCTGGCATTGACCAGACGTCGGAGTCCGAGCGACGAGAACTACAGTGGAGACCCATTCCGAAAACACCCTGCTTGCCTCCAGGGTGCCCTGGGTTTCTTTGATGTCGATGGCGTTGCTTTGGAGAGCGTGACGTTACCGCACCAAACATCCATGGACTTCCTGGGGTCGGTCTCAGGGTTGGGACTCTTGTGGAAGGTTTTCTGTGGTCGGGCCCCCACTGTATGCACAGGCACCCATCTCGGCCAGGCGCCTCCTGGCCCCAAGGTCGTGGCGGCTGCCTCCCCGGCCAGGACAGGAGGCACCCATCCCGGGCCCAGGCTGGGCCTAGCAAGAGTCGGTGTGTGTGTGTATGTGTGTGTGTGTGTGTTGTTTTGTTTGTGTGTGTATGTGTGTGTGTGTGTGTGTGTGTGCGTGTGTGCGTGCGTGCGTGCGTGCGTGCGTGCGTGCGTGCGTGCGTGCGTGCGTGCGTGCGTGCGCGCGTGCGCGTGCGCGTGCGCGTGCGTGCGCGTGCTGCGCGTGCGCGTGCGCGTGCGCGTGCGTGTCGTGTGCGTGTGCGTGTGCTGGCGTGTGCGTGTGCGTGCGTGTGCGTGTGCGTGTGTGCGTGTGCGTGTGTGTGTGCGTGTGCGTGTGCGTGTGGTGTGCGTGTGCGTGTGCGTGTGCGTGTGCGTGTGCGTGTGCGTGTGTGTGCGTGTGCGTGTGTGTGCGTGTGCGTGTGCGTGTGCGTGTGCGTGTGTGTGGTGTGTGTGTGTGTGTGTGTGTGTGTGTGTGTGTGTGTGTGAGTGTGTGTCTGTGTGTGTCTGTGTGTGACTGTGTCTGTGTCTGTGTCTGTGTGTGTCTGTGTCTGTGTCTGTCTGTTTGTGTGTGTGTTTGTGTGTGCGTGTGCGTGTGTGTGTGTGTGTGTCGTGTGCGTGTGTCCGTGCGTGCGTGCTTGCGTGCGTGAGTGTGTGTGTGTGCGTGTGTGTGTGTGTGTGCGTGTGTGTGTGTGTGCGTGCTAGCTTCGACCGGAAGAGGTGCGCTCTCGACCCGCGGATCAAAAAGTGTGTGTGCGTGTGTGTGTGTGTGTGTGTGCGTGTGTGTGTGTGCGTATGTGTGTGTGTGTGTGTCTGTGTCTGTGCGTGTGTGTGTTTGTGTTTGTGTGTGTTTGTGTTTGTGTTTGTGTTTGTGTGTTGTGTTTGTGTGTGTGTGTGCGCAGAGTTCTCTGTCCTCTAAGAGTAGCCTTTCGCCGGAGGGACCCGCGGAACGGGCCCGAGAAAAATTCGTTCCCTGCTGGAACGGCTCGTTCCGAGAGGGTTCTCGGCGGTCGTTGAGAGTGTTCTGGGCGGCCTCTGAGAACGTTCTGGGCGGCCCTTGAGAGGTTTCTTGGCGTCACCTAGGAGTTTTCTTGGAGGCACCTGAGAGGCCTCCTGGCGGCTCCTGAGAGGCTTCTCGGCGGCCCCTGTGAGGCTTCTTGGCGGCCCTTGAGTGGGTCCTTTGTGGCCCCCGAGAGGGCTCTTGGCGGCCTCTGAGAAGGGTTCTTGGCAGCCCCTGAGAGGCCTCTTCGCGGCCCCCAAGATCGTTATTGGAGGCCCTTGCGGAGCCGCTTGGCGGCTCATGTGGGGCCTCTTGGCAGCCCCTGAGAGGCCTCTTGGCGGCCCCTGAGAGGGTCTCTGGCGGCCCCCTGAGAGGGTTGGTTGGCGGTCCCTGAGACGCTTCTTGGCAGCCCCCTGAGAGGCTTCTTGGCGGCCCCCAAGAAGGTTTTTGGCGGCCCTTGAGAGAGTCCTTGGCGGCCCCTTCGGTTTTTCTGGCGGCCCCTGAAAGGGTTCTTGGCACCTCCTCCTCTGGGCCTTCTTTGGTTGCCCCCTCAGCCCCCCGAGAGGCCTCGGGCCCCGCCTTGCACGGCGCCTCCCTCTGGGATGCCTCCAGAGGGTCCTTGTTGCAAGCGAAACGCAAACAGGCAACAACATTCAGACCGACAGTGCGTCAGAGCAAACGGGCAGGCGGCAACAACATTCAAACTCGAGCAGAACAATCGAGCAGGCCAGCAGAGCAAACGAGCAGGCGAGCACAACAAACTGGCAGGCGACTGGAACAAACGAGCGGGCGACTGACGGCGGCAACGACATTACCCCGCGCCGCGAGCCCCTTCCATTCACGACTCTCAGCACTGATGGTGATGGTGAGTTTCTGGGGCTCGTTCCTGGGTTGCGAGCTGTTGTGCTCGTGCCTGGTTGTGGGTCTACGGTCCTGCTCCTCCTCCTCCTCCTCCTCCTCCTCCTCCTCCTTCCCCCCCTCCTCCTCCTCCTTCTCCTCTTTCTGTCCACTCCTCGTCCTCGCCGTCCCT